CTTCATGACCCCATTCAAGGAATTATTTAGCAGATTTGGAAGGTAGATTGAGATCAGCGTTTGAAGGCACATCTCGTGTACATCTCCTCTTGAATGGCCATTGCGACCTGGAGCCTTCCCTCGTAAGAAGCAGGAATGGAAACGGGAGACAATATGAGTCAAGGAGAGGGAGAGAAGTTCGAGTGGAGAGAACATAGCAGATCGACGAAGGCAGAAAGTCGAACGGTAGATGGGTCCTGATAATTTTGGTTTGGTTCGATCGAAGTTCTAGCGCCTAACGTCCCAGTGACGCGTTTCTATGTGCAAGCGTAGCGCCACCATCGCAGTGACGGATCACACGCCTCTATCCACGGGAGCGACTACTTCAATGGTCCCAAGCACTTCAGTGAATCCAACCCTGGGAGCTTGCCTTTAAGTGATTCAACAGTTGCCGCATTATGCCAACGTGCAAACAAAATCAAACCGAAGACGAACATACGGTAACCACTACTCAGATTTCTGCTCATCTTTGAGTGCTCCACTTCAACATTGGGTTATTCCGGTAACCAGACATGGGCATTACTCACATGTCTTCTGCTAGCTGCTGCGCTACAAATTTTAGAAATCAATCTTCACTGTCGGACAGATTAACGAATCATATGCAAAGTGCACCATTAGTCAGCGTCGGATAAATGACCAATGTACGGCTGCGACCGGCTTCAAGGACAAGTTCACACCTGTTCGCATTCGCCGATGGTAAGCCCACGTTGCCTACTGAGAGAAAGTTCTCATCTGATTCATTGGATTCAGCCAAATTTCTATCATTTTAAACTGCATTTTCGAAAGATTTAGTAGTACTGCTCAAGCTGCAATCAAATTAGCTTCCCTTGTCACTAAAGAAATAATTCATTAGACTTGACATTCTTCAACTCACTTACTCTGTACAGCGTTACTTTTTGTTACTGTAAAACAACAGTGCAGAACCGGCCGTGTGCGTGTGTTGTGTGAATGTTGTTCGTCAAGGTGACCTTTGATTTAGTATTCGCAAATGTAGCTACCGTTACTCTTCTTTTTTGTGAGCATTCTAAGACGAATGCTCGGCCGCTGACGTAAAAGTCGAGAATTGCGATGATGGATAAGTATTACAGTGTTTCTAAGGTTTTATAATACATGAAAAAAGAGCAAAACGGCTGGCTGGACGATTTCTGAAAACTGGCAACTACTTTGCCTAGACGAATTGGCGTTTTGCAATTGTAGAGCTAGGGTTAGTCGGGTTTAATCAGATTGTTCTCATAAGTATAAAAGCCGATCATTCAAGCATAACAATTCGGAATCGGTTACAAGTGTTGTAGGTGACAAATGCCCCGTCTGCTAGCCACCGCCATCATGAGAACACTTTCGCTCAGTTTTCCGCAAGAGCCTCTTCAGAACTCGCGTAAGGACTCGGACGACCACCAAATAACCATTTGAGAAGGGAGACCAAGTAGCGACTACCCCTATTCACAGTTGGTTCTTACCACGGCATCGATAAAAGTGTAATAGGGGAAATGTAATAGGAAAATACTTTGAAATATCCCATAGCCCAATTTTTGAATTTAGTTTCTTTTTTCGTGTTTATTCGAAAATCCTTGCCATGTTGGCTCTTTGATATTGCCTATGCTATGCTGAGGATCCTCGAGTAAATAAGGCATAAGAAAAAATATCGAATCGCGTTATGGGATGTTGCAGAATTTCCCTTCCAACCCAATAGAGTAGGGTAGCAGAAGCGCCAGGCTGAAATCATCTGTGAAAGGACTATTTCTCTAGAGTGCGCACGAGTTGGTCGAGGAGGCGAGGTGGAGTAATCCACTAGATAGACTATAGGTAAGATTTGTCGACTAATAGACTTGTATTTCTCTGCGGTTTTGGTATAAAACTTCCACTCGACAATTACGAAGCCTCGGGATGGATTTGTGCGTCAAACAGGAGTTCTAAGCCCTCTTAGGAGAGGTTTGTCTCGTTCCATCGGAGTTTTGCTTTGGTAGGCCTGAAGGATATCTAGAAAATTGCTGGCTCTCCTAGGTGCTGGGCACAGCTCATATATTTACTGCCTTGAACCAGTATTTCAAGAGCCGGAATAATCCGGTGCCCCAGAGGGCTTGTAGAAGTGATATTACTAATTGTCTTGAACAAAAAATCGCATTTGTTTTGGCAAACAATTCGAAGAACCGAAAGGGCTGATACGTGTTCAAAGTACCGCCAGACATCTGTCACAAATGCTGGCGACGGGAACTGCTTCCACTTGGTTCTCGGAATGCCATCACTAGAAACTCTTTCTGGCCTTTTGACTTACTGCATTGACATCTCACACATTTTCTGCATTTCATTCTATCAATCGATTTGTCTCTACTCTCCAAAATCGCACGTCTTAACCCGATTCCTTCATTGCGTCGCCTGATGGACTTCATTCCATGCTTGGCCTTTAGCTCTGCGTCACCTCCGATTGTCCATGGAGTAAGATTTTGTGGGTTTATTTCTCTTCGCAAACTGAATCTTTGTGCGTGAAAATTTCTATGTTGTCTCTAGTGTTCACAGCTGTCATGGAAAGAATGCAAGGTTTCTGCGGGAGGAATTGCTCCAACCTTACCACGTGTGAGAGGGGAAGGTATCGATGCTCTCCATGTGTTCTCAATGAGCTTCCTGATAAGCCGGTTTGAAAAAACTAACTTCAAACTGGGAAGATGATCGAAGAAAGTTTGCGGAAAATGGACTTTTCTTACCTTGGATAGGATGTGGCGCCGTTATAATGTGCGTGCTTTACAGAGGAAGCAGGGTCTGAACTCAGCCAAAGGGTACGACCCTCCTTAGAGTAACCAACCCTGCCCCCTACCCTATCCCTCCGGGCCGGTTGACAAGACGAGCCTATGAGGATGACGTCATCCTGCAACTAATGTGTTGCAGGCCAGAAGCACATCCAGTGTTCAACGATTCCAAGTGGAAATAACATGCGTGGTGCAGGCAACAATGGACTGATACACACTGACATTGGCACGCTCAAGAACGGCTTTTGTCTGAGCGCACGAGCAGAAGAAATTAGGACAAACTAGCACATTCTTTCAAACAGTGTCACCTTGCTTTGAGAATTTGTGCTACACTTACTCAGGACGGACACCTCTTCCGATTCACATAATTTTGTAAAATTGACGCCTTATCTTCCATATATTTTTAATCTTTGAGTATATATGCTGTACAGGTATTCCTCACAAGGAAAGGCTCCCAGGTCGCCATGGCCATTCAAGAAGAGATGTATACGCCTAGATGTGCCTCCAAACGCTAACCTGAAATCTACCTTTCAAATCTGCTAAACGATTCATGAATGGAGTTTTGAAGCAAAACAGTGCAATGGTAGTGATCGAGACTCTCACTCAAAATGTCGTACGATCGGTCCCTTATTCTGCTTACCGTTTTCCATTCTTCAGAAATTCAGTCATAAATATAAGCTATTCAAATCCGTTCAGCTGAATGCTTGAAGAATGGGAAACGGTAAGCTCTATAAGGCCGATCGTACGACATTTTGAGTGCGTGTTCCCAAGGTCAACCCTACGTTGTTATTAGTAACAAGGGGGAGGGGTCGTACCTGGTTGAGTTTATAGGGGGGTCGTATCCGCTTCAGTCGCGTGAAATTACATGTGGGTTTGTGGTGAAAGTGGAGTTTTCAGGGGTGGTATTTCAGGAGTAGTAGGTTGAGTGAGTTGAGAGCGCATGGGAGAGAAATTCGCGGTTTCAGCGTGCGTATACACACCCTCCCCTCCCCCGCTCGACGGCTATTTTGGAGGAAAAAGTGGGCGGAGTTTCGTGCGGTGAGTGGTACCAGAATTAAATACTATAGGTACGATGATAGTGGGTCGAGGTGTCGAAAAGGGGTCGTATCAAATCCACCTTGGGGGAGGGGGGGGGGAGTTCGTAAAAATTTTTGAAAAAGTAACAACGATAGGACCGATCCTGGTTCCGACCACTCTCGCTTCGCTGTTTTACTTCAAAACTCCATTCAGAGAATTGTTTAGCAGATTTGGAAGGTAGATTTCAGGTTAGCGTTCGAAGGAACATCTATGGCAACACGGCCACTTGAGAAGAGATGTATACGCCTAGATGGGAGCCTTTCCTTGTCTGGCAGCTCAGGCCGATAAAATGCTATTTGGCACGGGGAAGTGATGCCAGCACACAGCCCCTGGATGTGAGCTCGCTCTTATGAACATAAAAAGGTGTTTTACTGTATTCTCTTAAATATGGGAGGAAATTAGATCTCCAGACGAAAATTGTCCATCTGCTGCAGTACAGTACTATTGTTGAATATCCGTTGATCAAATAGCATGAGAAGCTGCTCACGCTTAAAGTCCTTGATCACTAATTGTTCTAGATCTGTAGCTTCGCTTCCACATCGAAGCCAGACTAAACCAAACTACTTCAATGAAGAGTTCGACGTTTCACTATCATTGATGTTTTTGTGAAGCTACTGAACTTTCCATTTGCGATTCGTTGTCGCGGACCGGATACCAAGGCATTCTTTGTCTCTAAAAACAGCCACACCATACACTAAACGTCTCGCGCCTGTACGGCAATATGACGCAGTCCACTCATTCACTGTGGCGGGGGCATCGAAAAACGTCGCCGTACCGTGTTTACAACCCGCCGCGTTCCAAGAACAAAGCAATGGCATTACGTTATCCGTGTGTGTGTTAATGCGCGAGTCGTGAGTGAACGAGACAAATTCGGAAAAGGGCGTGTGATGCGTTGTGTTTTCTGTAATTATTGGAGGTAAGTGCGACAACGACGATGACGACGACGACGTCAACGGGTGGGACGACGAGACGCGAAGGGGAGGGGGCTGGGGGACGGATGATGGGGTGGCGGCAGTGAGGCGGGCGATACGCCGCATAAGGAGAGAGACTACAGTGTATCCCTGCAACGACAACACCGCGACCTAGGGCAGGATTGGAGCGAGCGGCGCACGCTTATGCCTACTGCTGTCAACCATTGTCATCATGGAAAAGCAGGTACGTATCTTCACAGTATGTACTTGTTGCGATAGGGCCTGCTAGGAGATATTATGCAAAGTGCAGTGATAAGCCACTGAGTCGCGCCCGCATATCACTTCCGCGTTCGTGTATCTGACTGTAAACTGTAGAAATTGCATCGATTCAGTTATGCGAGCAGATTCAGTTGTCGACAATTACAGAGTGAAGAATGCAGCTATTGCTGCTTGACTGTGATCGCACTTTCGATCGCATTCTGTTCGGCTGTGGTCACGTTATTGGTCGCTAATTACATGTATACCGGCTTACCGTGCCGAGACGATCCGAAGCCTTTCGCAGTGAAAAACGACGAGGTCCGTTGCAATATCCCTTTTCATGTTACTAATAATTTATTTCGCTTAAAACCCTTTTTACTCGTTAACCGAATGATTCGAGATTCGTTGCGTCTCGACTTGTCTTTATTCGAATCGGTCACGTGTGTATTGTTCGTCGAAAGAGTTCACCGTTAGATAGACAAGTGAGCTTGACCCCAATTCCTCGCTCACCACATGATCTCCTGCTCATCAACATTACTGAACCTTGGCTGAACAATGGGCCCGAGAAGCGCCGTCAAAATTAGCGCATTCCGCTCAGAAACAAAGAGCTTTAGCCTCAGGCCTTTACCCCCTTCCCTAGGAGCTAACCCCACACTGAAGGGAGGACATGATTAAGCTTCAGAAAGGCGACTGATTTTCTCCGTGTAGGTTTACGGAATAAGGTCACCTTTTTCAACAAAAAGGAAAGGAAAAGCCATGGTCCTGAATAAGTGAGAGCGCTAATCCATCGCCGTTGGACCGTGGCTAATGCGACCAGACCGCAGCTTTCAAAGTTCTTTTCTCAACGGATCTTTAGAATACCCCTCTGCAACGCCTATCGGCCAAATAGCCATCCCATCCACTGAAAATCGGTCGTGGCCTTGTTGGAGCAACGTTTTCCCAATACATTTAACTTCCAAGCTATGATTAGATACAAACTCTAGAGTTAAGGTGAGTGAATTCAACACAGATGGGAGATCTACTTTGTGTGCTGCTCACCCCCTCTCCACCTTACACATTCCTCCTCTCATCTTCTCTCCTTACCTCAAACTTCTTTTCACCTCAGAACATCGAAATTCGATTATTTCCACGCAATTGTCATAGCTCTGTAAACTGGTTTCATCGTCCTATTCGCCACGCGGCATGAAGCGAAAAACTGCCTAAGATTGTTGCTTCCCTGCCAGCGAAAGAGCGTTCGGTCAGAGTCGGCTTTGAAGAAGCTCGGTCTGCTAGAGAATCAGAGCGAGCTTTAGGCCAGCTGGTCGTAATAAAAGCAGGGCCCTTTCGGGAACCTCTTCTCAGTTGTTTTTGGATACCATTTGGCAGACCATCACAAAGTTACTGCTATTCATACAATTTATTCAAAATGGACGAATTGTGAGAAGCAGAAGAAAATAAGGGAGAAAATGAGTGTTGTCACCCGATTCGTGTGCCTATACCTTGGACACACCAAACGGACCTACAAAACCTAAACATGACATCGGTTCCCTCTTACTCCTAACTTGCCTACTCATTACCTCAAGGGTTGAAAATCAGCCCATATTAGGACGGAGTTCAAACAAACTTGAAACAAAAGCGCAGCGAAGCCCATGTTTTTTTTGAGGATCATAGCCTCAACGTGGCCACACCCTTCAATATGAGAAGAAAAATGTGAAAAATTGCATTTAATCCTGTTAAAAATCTTTAAAAAATAGGGAACTAAGAAACACTCCACGTGAAATTAATAAAACGGTCACAAATGTCAACGGAGAGGGGGAAGAACGTTCCACTTGTTTCTAGAGGTGCCTTTCAAAAAATTTTTTTGATCCCCTCACCCTTGTGTCAAGAGCATTTCACTCCCTAGTTGTAGCCCACTCTTTTGAGGGTTATCGTTTTATGATTTCTCCGAATTGGGAACTTCAATTTAATACCTAACTATAATGCGCTATATTCGTAGCCGCCCCTCCACCTACTGATGTACTTCCTTCCATACGCTGGATGGTATGACCAGGGGTCTGCGAGGTGCGAAAAGTATGGCTTTCAAGGGCATGTTTCTTTTCAGAAACCGAGTGTTTATGTATGGAATCTTGCACAACACATTGATCACCCACGACGCATTTATATTGGGAGGAACTACATTTTTCCATGGACGATTCCTCGATGGGCAGTGAGCCTGCCGGCGAGTCGACCGGAGCTTTCACAATTTTCACTCATATTAATGTCATTTGACCCTCTCCCTTTGAAGCAAAGTGTAATTCTGAGGAAAAAGATAGTGAACTGAATCCATTGAATTTCTCTACAGAACCAAATCCTCGTGAATTGAACTTTTCTACAGAACCAAATTCTCGCCAACTGACTCGCTCACAATAAGTATTAAGCAGAAAGCTCAGCAGGAGGGCCTTAAGTAAATACTTTTCCTGTTAGGTTTCCCGAAGAAGACGAAGTTTTCTTGCGTGACTCCTTAGTGATCACTTTTTATGGAAGTTCGGAGAACAGATAGGACCTATCCCGCTATGTGACAGAACAATTTTCTAAGCAGCACGTTCCCATCATTTGAAAGTACTGAGGGGTCACAGGTAGATACGAGCGCTAAACTTGTCAGTTCGGATCTCGCACAGAAACGTCATTCGTTCCATCTTTCGATTCCGTTTTCAAGTCAGCACTACTGAAGAAAAAATGGTAGCCAACGCCTTCAGTTCGCAATCGGTCAAGTGAAATCACTCCCGACTTTTTCAGTGGAATACGCCCTTGTTTGCCCCTTGTTCTGCGCTCCGAATAGCAATGAAGTTCATCATCGCTGGTCGCATGATATGTGAAGCGAGTGCGATTTATGATCCGTAGCGCCTAAGAGAAAGTGAACGGCATCACTAAGCGATAATTTCGGAATCCTCTTGTTCTCACTTTTTCCATGGCTCCTTTCAACGAAAGTATTCAGTCATCTCTGGTAGAAGGGATAATGGTCATAGATGGTGCGAGTGATCGTAGCAAATAACAGAATGAGTGAGCCAGTCCCGACAATACAACTTGTTCTTCCTATCATAAGCAAGCGTCAGACCGGGCGAAGACGCAACTGATCGACGAATCTCTCACAGTTAGCTATGTATTTGAGACACGAATCCCGATTTTCTCTATTTCAGCTGTCATGGAATGGAAGTGATCGCTTGGTGGTGGCCAGTAAGGTGAGTACTTTTTACAGACGCAAATAAAGCTGTCAGCTCCTCGGAACGTTCGTCATCTAGGCGATTACCCGAGAAAATGGCTGGAATTTGGCCGTGAACCCGTCGACAGTCACGCATTCCACTTTCCGCAGCAATCCCCACAACAGTCTAAACGACCACGAAACCCATTACCGCAAATTTTGAAATAAGTTCAATCACTGAATTCTTTGGCGAGACGTTTCCTTTTGGATGCTCATCTTATTCAATTCTCGAAGGTCAAATTGGGAATGATCAAAAAGCAACTAGACTCTTGATATGATATAATCCGAGCATTTTATGCCACAAGTACGAGTAAACGAAGAGTTCCGATGGAATTAAATAATAGTGCTGAAGGTTACCTGTGGAATTCCAAACGAGTACATTAGCCACTTTACGGTTTTAAAAATTTCAAAAAAATGCTTGTGGGTGCATGACGTCGCAAAGCTCTCAGTCACGAACTTCTTGACTCTGAACAAACCAATTAATAATCAGTAATTCCTGGCTATGAACTGATGGAAAACTTTGGTAGATCGATCATGTGTAGAAAGTCTCCGGCCCACTGGACCACTGTAGGTACACACCACACTACCGCGCAAAAAAAGAACGCTGTGAGCCTACGGACCACATGTTCACATTCTTTGTAGACAATATGGCTCCGTGTTAGACTTGCCGCGACTGTGCTGAAGTGCACCCAAATGTCCAGACGTTTTTCCTGCAGTAAAAATTGCTATTATACAAATTGCCTTTTGCATGCAATATTTTAACTTGGTGCAAACAGAAGTTGTTTTTGCGCATGACGTAATGATGAAGTGGTCGTTAAGTAGCATGGATCATTCTCGTGATATCTTCAATACACCTGTCACCACACGTCTTCAGTAATGTGATAAACAAATGCTTGAGATTGCTCTGATGACAAATAGGTTCACAATCATAACCCCGTCGCGAGCGACAAATCACCGAGCAGTTGGTCATGTGCGACGTCGCGCGACGATGGCCGACGCGACTGAGTACGGTGTGAACTGGACGCAAGAACGCCGCGACGATCGCTCAACTATCTGTCTTCTTAGACGTCGACGTCAGTTGATTATCGCGTTCGCTTGTGGATGGTTGATCGGTTATTTTTAGAAAATCAGACAGATCTGAACTTGGGTATTGTCCAGACATATAAAGGGGGCCATAGTAAGGAAGGAATGTAGTTGGTTGATCTCTATGCTGACTGCAGAATAGCAGCAAATTTTCGAAATGAGCGTAATTTAGTCGATAGGAGAAGACGCACAAGAAGTACATAACATTTCCATAAAGTGCGGCTAGGAGCTAGCTGCCCCTGGAGACCAAGGCAGGATCAAAGTAATCTACAAAATGCAAGGATAACCTGGATCCGACCTGTCGTCGCAAATTTGGCCATTCATGTCAATGTGCGTCAGTGGATAGCAGTTCCCACATTGGTCGTATTATATTAGGCTGTCAGAAAAGTCTTTGCGCATTTCGCAACTTTCAAAATTTTTCTCTTCAATGTAGCTAACAACCGACATGTACAATACATACACCACCATAATCGTCAAAACTTTAACTTCAGCGGGCAGCTTCAGGTTGCCGGCCATTCAGAAATCCCGAGTCTTTGGAGCGAAAAGCCCAAGGAGGTTGACTTTGAGTAGTTCCATGTCATTAGACCACTCCTATTTCAATACCTTCACCAGCAGCAGAGGCCTGTCTTAGTCTTTCCCTACCGGTTTTCTAAACACAGCAGGTAGGTTACATGGTCCCATAGAGGTTGGAGGCTTTTGCCGGAGCTTCTTCGTAATTCATGGGCGAGCGTTGCGAGCGAGCGCCGAGCTAAAGTAAACTTTCGCAGACTTTCCGGGTACCATGCCGGGTAACCGATCGACTTGTCAACATTATTGTTCACCAATAGCAGTGGGCTTCGTTGACAGCAGCTATCCGCGAGCGAAACACATGCTGTCCATGAGCTCCCAAAGTTGCCTCCCAGGTAGCAGTTCCCGAATCGGTGTAGCGATTTTTTGTCTTGAACATTCGAGCCAGTCGTGCTTCCGCCTCTGCCATATGCAGGGATCCTACTTCTTGTTACCACAAGCAAAGTTGGCGGATCAGGCAAGGAGACCAGCGCGATAAATCAAAATGATCATGCAAAATCTTATCGTCTTAACAGCCTGTGCTCAGTGAGAACACCAAATATCCTTTCACAATTCCACTTCTTTTCAAGGCTATGTGAGGAGTGGACGGATTGTGCTCTGATAGCACTGGGAAAGCTACGCCAGTTATGGTGCCTTGCATCGAGGACTCCCTCCAATCGCCTTAAGAATACACCCGTCACTGAGCGTAGCAGGCCGCCGACCGGATTTGTGGCTTTATCTTGAGTATCTGACTTCGGCGACCAAATAATTGGTATGGTGTGAAAGAAAGTCTTAGGTTCCAATTCAACACGTAGGTCTCCTACTGCGTCGCTAAATCGACGCACTTCGTGGGCTTATAAAAGCAGGAGCAGTCGAACATACTCTAGTAGAAGACATACTCTCGTAGATAAGCTTCTGCTGCTGGCGAAGGCATTGAAGGAGGGGTTGTCTATGACCGGACCTACTCAAAGTCAACCTCTTTAGGCTTTTCGCTCCAAAGACTCGGGATTATTGAACGGCCGGCAACCTGAAGTTCTTAAGCTTCAAACGCTGCGAACTACTACGACAGAAAAGCTGTAGGGAGAGCTTTGACCACTGCTTACATGCGTTTCACAGTTAACGTCTCAAAACGAACCCGAAAGATTTTCAAGATCAGGAAGAAAGTGTGCAAAGACTTTCCCGACATAATATCTACTGTTAGCCAATTACTGTCACTGATAGATCGCTCATTTTCAGCTTCTTTAGCTAAGTTTTCTTATGCAGACCCAAATCGTGAGTCGTCCGCAGTCAAGCGCGCTACATGACGGACCCATCTCTAGCCAAGCACTCCTGAGCACATCGAAAATGGGATTTCTCTGCATTTGAAGCGTAGTCGCGAATCGCACTTGCTGCCCATCATCTGCGCACCATTAACCTTTGCGTTATAGCGGAACCCTCTTCGCCCTCCTCAGTAATTGAACAACATTCTACGCCATATATTAGGTTGTTCCATAAACAGAATCTTTTTGATATGGATATGGAAAATTTCTGTCGACTTTTGTGAAAGTTGTCTTTAACTGCAAGGAAAGAAACTTGAAATCCTGTCGATGTCACGTTAAAGGAAGTGATTACGATAAAGAGGGAGCCCATCGGGAAAGCATGTGCACCGCATGAATCAGTTACTTGGTTACCAGGGAAGCGAGGTTGGCATTCTCACGACCTAAGGTGCGCCGGTTGCTGAGCTGGACTTTAAAAGCGCTCTGCCCCCAAAAGCGGTCGGCCCAGTGGTTTACTTGTTCCATCCTCTCAAGCACTGAAAGTCGATGGTTGCAGTACCTCATCTTGCCATTGGACATAAAAAGTGATTGTGCGAGCGAAACATACGAAAAAGTAGGTTCGAGAATTAAGGCGGGATAAAATAGGTGTGGCAGAGCGTTCACCAATGAAGCTAGAGGTGAGAAATGGTCTGAAAAAAAAAGAAGAAAGCAAAAGAAACTCTGGACTGCGCCCTGAATGAGGACCCTCTCTATTTAAGCCGCATTCCGCCATGGGATAGAGAACGGGCGTGTTGGACGAGGTTTCACAAGCTTAAGCCCCAGTTGCTCCAGTGCCAATGAAATTGAACGTAATGAAATCTCTGCCGGCAACTGCGCCTGGGCTTTTCAAGTAACGTCAAGTGGCAACCGATAGCGGAAGGTGGAGCTTGCAGGCAAGGTCAACCGTCCGTTGTGCAAAAAATAACCGAGGGGGTCGTATTTGGTCAACGGAAGGGGTGGGGTCGTAATCATCAAGTACCAATCACCAGATCTGAGGGTGCAAAGGCGAAAGGAGTGGCAAAGGAAAGCAGACTTTCAACTCTTTCAACTGCCATCGCGACTACACACCACAAACGATTGAATGGCGCATCCCAGAGCGCAATTTCCTACCAAAATACGTCATGTCCCTGTGAGGAAGAGCGAAAAAATGTTTTAGAAACACTCCCACGCTTTAGGTCACATCAAAGTGGATGAAAGTGCAGCAATTCGGCCGATTGGCCTCTGGAGTACTAATAGAAACCTATGGCAGGCGAACGGGCTCCCTTTTCAGATTATCTAACATCGGCTATAAAGTACTGGTCATGTAGATGTATATGATTTACCGCTTCTCATTACACCGATTTTGAAGAGACTTATGACCGTTCGATGGTTGAAAACTCGCGTTTTGCGAGAATGGCCTGAAAACAAACCACAAGAGCGATAGATTGGAACAATCGGACGTATTTTTCTGAGAAAGTGGTAATTCAAAAGAACCAATGTTTTTTTTGAGAATGTAGGTCTTCTAATTTTTGACTAGCTTTGGAAATATGCAAAAATTTTGAAAATTAAAGGAGTGGTTTCTATACGGAGGCGGTTTCCAGAGCTTAACTCCTCCCGTGTTCCACCAAAAATCCGAGAAGGCCCTACTTGGACGAGGTTGAACTTAAGCAATAAGATCTCCCGAAGCGTTTGAGCTGGACTACCGCCGCTTGTTCATTTGTTAGTAAACTGTACCCACTCCTCATCTTCGGCAAATGTGATGGATGGTCAATCGTAGAATCCCTAGTAAGTCGACTTGAACATAACGGTGTCAGATCGTGTTTGGAGCTGAATCGGGCTCAAGGCACGTGGGGACCAAACTCTACATTTTCGGATCTTCACAAGTCTTTGGAGATGCCACAGTGCTGTCTCCTTGTCGCATCGGAATCGCTCTAGCAAATGATCGATACTCTATCCAGATCCCTTTTCAACGGCGTCAGATAGAGCATCGTGATTGTCAGTCACAGGGTGGTTGGAGTGTGGGTTATTTTCAAATAAAAAAGTCAACGCTGAGCAGAGTGAAGCGCCGTTGCACGTGGTTTGAGAGAGCGTGCCCTCGCCATCTTCTGGCCAATCCTTGGTGTAGCATGACTTGCGGAACATTCCAAGCAGTACTCGTAAAAATTAAGGGCACGAGAGCCCTCTCGCGAAATCGGTGTAATATCCATAATAAGTAAGCAGACAACGAGCTGGACCGTTGGCTGAAATTGCAAAGGTTGATGCTACGTCAGGAAATATGTTGCGGATTTTCAGGAGTTCTCCCTAAAATTCTATAGCATTAAATGTAGTTTGTTGCAAGACTTATGGACCGACCTAATATTTTTTGAGTGAACTTCCATGTTGCATTGTTTCTTGCCTCTGAGCGAGACAAAGCGCGCGGACTTCCCCACTGTCAACCACCTCTCCATGTCGGTAACGGCCCGATGATGGGCCCACAATATGTAATGAGCCACAATAGCTAATGCAGTGGGTTGTGCAGATACCCTTCGAGAGGTAGGGGGTCGTAAATTTTGAAATCTGCGCACCGCACGGTTGACTCTGCTTGCAGGCCAAGGTGTGGAGCTGGTCAAGCAGGCTCATAGCGCCTTTGTCGCGCTTTTTGAAGTCGCGGAGGGGCCACAATATCAAAGCTTGTGTATCTCTCTACCACGATCAGGCATGGAACAGGTGTGCGTGCCTAACCCGCAGCGTGCCTTCACTAATTCACTGAGTATATTGACGATGCAAAATAAATTTGGAAACCTTACAAGGAATAGATCTGCATCTCACAAATATGTCGGTATGTGACACTGACTTTTTCTGGAGCAAAACTAATGAGCTTCCCGAGACGAGTTCCTCTTTCCGTAGATAGTGTGTACTTGCTTGCTTCGATTTCTTCGATGCATAGTAGAAAATACCAACAAGCCTTTAAGAGCGCAATGCATCCAGTTTTGGATTTATTTAATAGGAGTCTTGTGAATTAGGAGTGCAGCTTCGTTGTTTACTGGAACCTTAACGTGTCAGTGTTTGAATTTTGATTAATGAACAGAGTTGGAAAATAAATGAAAAACCTGTTAAGCAAAAATATAACAGCAGTATATTACTTATTTCAGAGAGTTATTGTCGTGAAGCTTGAGGACATGAAACGCTGCTATATATTGCCAAGTCGACTTGCACAGGTTAGTCAAAGTAATTCGGCATGAACTTGCTACTCTGTCTTTTGACGGAAACGGTTCCAGATAAATACCCGTACTGGAGCAATTCGAGCCTGAAAAAATCTTTTCGAAAATTCAAAAACTCTGAAAAATTAAAGGAAGCGATTACGATAAAGAGGGAGCGCATCGGGGAAGCATATGCACCACACGAATCAGTTACTTGGCTGCCAGGGAAGCGAGTGTGGCGCTTTCACGACGAAAGGTGCGCTGGTTGCTGAGCAGGACTTCGAAAGCGCTCCGCCCCCAAAAGCGATCCGCCCACTAGTTTACTTGTTGATTTGGACGAGCTGCGTGGCCAGCGGCGCAAATGGAGCATCTCGATTAAAGCGTGTTTGGCAATGGTGCCATCAAACGTTGCGGTGAACTCGTTCATACGTCCGCTTTCTGAGCTGTTACCTGTTCATGAGTGAAAACCAACGGCCAAAAAGGGGTCCCGTTTTGCGTTTTCTTGACGGATTTCTCCGCTTTTTTCGCCACTGGCGTACCATTGAGCACCACCACGTCACACTAAACCCTTCTTGAATTTATCGTAATCGCTGCCTTAAGGAAGACGTTTCAAGAACCTTCCTAAGAACAAAGGAAGGGAACGTGGTGCGCGGGGCAATCCGGAGTATTAACTTCGAACACTTCATTTAGTAGGTTGCTGCTTTATTCATTCTCTGATGAGGAACGAAAACGAATTCTGTGAGTGAGAGAAATGTATTGATCACCTAGAGCCCCTGAGCGAAGTGCAGAAACAGTAAATTTGCTATACTCACGCTGCTCCCTGTACCGCTGCAGGCTTCAGATTTTACCCCTCAGAATAATCATTTTGCCATGTGAGATCATTTATCACTTACTCCACGTCTGGGCTACACCACTTGACACGACGTACTCAAGTCCTACTTCTACTTTTTTTCTGAAGACCTTTTGTTTCGAGACGATGAGCAGAAGCTGAAAACGCCATGAGGTTATGGGATTATGGGTGGGAGATACTTGAACGTTTGGCTGGCTGAAAAAAGAAGAAAGGTTTTCAATCGAAGAGCCAGGGCATACTCCTGTACCTTTCCGGTAGTAGTATAAAAAACATGAAATTTTTCCATGCCTCATTGGATTATGTTGGCTGAGGTAATTGTGAGACCTTGCGAACATCATCGAAAACTCTGAACAAACGCAACAAACAGTTGCATACAGTGATAGCACAGGGATACGGCCCGTTCTAATCCAGCAAAAGTGGTGTTGGGCCACAAAAACATGCTGTAACTGTAGACGGTATGGCTGATTACTTTACAGCATAAACAGGCAACAAATGAAGGTAATTTCCTTGAGTGTTGCCACTGAGTTGTTCAAATGGTCGAAATTCTGGCTTGGTCAGAAGGCTCATTTCTCCAGTACACTTCTATTACTAACATCATTTTCTTTGTTCTAGGAGTCGCCTCGAAAACAATTCGAAATCGTGCCGGAACCGCTGTCGAAAGCAATCGGCGTTCATTTTGCCGGACAGGAAGGGTGGAATTTTTGTAATTCGCTTCCAATGTACCTACTTGAGGAATCAAAAAGTAAGACTAAAATTCTAAAACCCTTCTTGATTTTGCGAGTTGATTCCTACCCATCCATGGGATCAAATCGTGAGTCCTGTAGTAGCACTCATGCCAACCGAGTGTTCCTCATCTCTCTGGGATCAATTAAGCGTTAACAGAATTCGATAGCGTAATACTTTCATATAGTACATGCACCGACCTCAAAAGTAAATGTGTAAGCTGAACACACACTCAAATGCAGCGTAAAGGGAAAGGAACCTACTCGAAAGGCAGGCGCTTCCCACCTCAGGGTGCGGTGATGCGCGTTTCGAAGCGAAAAGTATGTCCCTAGCGGCCTACCCAGCTTTACACGGCTAAGCCGCTTATCTTTTCTTCCTTTTTTCTTCATTCGTGCAACCCTCTCCCTTGATGTGTAATGGGTGCTTTTTCATAGTAAACTCCGCCTCAAACTCAAAGCTCACGAAAGTGGGCCGAACTCGGCTACTCAACGGTGTGATGCTGTCTCTGCCGTTCAAAAGGTTCCGCAAAAACAACTTTAGAAAAAAGTTGACGTCGAGACGGTAACCAATGGCACTGAGACAAAGAAAGTGTTCAGCGAAAAAGTTGACTGTTTAAAATGACATTCGTCGTTTACCAAACTGCGCTTTGTCTCGTCTTGTCTCTCTTTGTCTTTCACACTAACTGCCCATTGAGCATGCTAATTCATTGCTACACGGTGTAAGGTTGAGAGAGAGGGTGATGATTCCAGTCACTTTGTCTCTGTACTCTATAATCGAATCCCTGTCTGCCTAACTTACGCGCGAATTCATTGTTCCGACCGACTGAAATGGTACCAAGTATTTCTTAGAAGATAGAAACGCTGACTCATATCGTGTGGTCGCTCTGGATAGCTCAAAGATCATTCGAGCGCATTCATGAATTCAATGGTAGTCAAAAGCGCGGATAACTCTTAGAACAGTGTAGGCTCCTATCTTTTCCATTGTTAGGGCAGACAGCTCGCATTGTAAGTTTTACAAGAGCAAGTGCACTTTCTCCACGCAGAATAGAATCACCATGGAGGGACATAGTGATGAAACTACACAGAGTTTCTGAACAACTTGATGGTATTGATGCAAGTTCCACGATAATCTAAGTGTAACTACCGTACTCGAACATGGATACACATGTGTGATGTGGGTGAAAAAAAAGGAAAAGAAACCATCAAGGGCGAAATATGCGGACCTTCATTCTGGGTTATGGAGAAGTGCTACGATGACAAGATACCGGCGCTGCGAGTAAACAGAATTTGGGGTGTCCTCCAAGAGGCCCAGCGCGGCGAAGGAAGAGACGCAGACGCGGCAAAGGACGAGTCGCAGCGCATACTGTAGCGGTTAGGCGTCAGGTTAAATAGAGTGTACCATACTACGTCTCATATCGCACAGCACGCGCTGCGTCTCTTCCTTCGCCGCGCGACGGGCCTCTTGGGGGGCACCCTAAAATTTGAAGACAAAAACAGTAAGGGATGAGCGAGAGGCAGACACTGCGCCGCGTGGATTGCCATATTGCAACAAACCTAAGTAGCGTAAATGTGGCTCATTTTCCAGATGAGAAAAGCTCAATTCTCAATTCTCTCTCATTTATTGCTATACTCCAGCCGTGAAACACACAGGTCCACCTAAATAAGTAGCGGAATAAGTCTCTAATGTCAGAAATGGGAGAAACATGCGAATGCGGGGCTGACTCGTTTTCGGAACCTAGTATTTACATGGAATCACGATAAACTGTTATCGTCTAAAGGAATAAAAAAACACTAATTTTCATGCCGAGCGATTCTGCGATATTTACTCTGTAGACGACTGATCTGGAAAAAAAGCACTCAGCACTAAAACGCATTCTGCGCTGGAATTGTCATTCACCTTACGTGCTCAAGGAAACTTTCTTCACTGCAAAACACAAAGCGCTCCCAGTTCGAAAAGCATGTCTATCCTGTTTACTAGATGTTTCTGCAGTTACTCATCACAAAGAAAAAGAATGTAAAGCAAAATATTTCAGATGAATGAAACATGTAAGAATATGACGCAAACAAGAGGACTCCTTGCCCAAGGGGGATACGTCGTGTATATTTGTTGTTCACCATACAAACCTTATATATCGATCTTTGTTCCATACTAATCAAGTGTCGATGGATCTCATTACGAATACGTGAAAGGAAGACTCGCTATACCCGTGCCTCGTTTATTTCGCTCAATTGTACATTAGTCCCGCTTTCCCACATTGTTTTGATCACTGAAATTTAACACCCCTTGTACTTTGTGTGAACTTCCTTCCACTTTAGCTATCTCATTTCAATGTATTACATTGTCTTTCTTACTCATCTTATATCGCTTTAATAAAACCTTTTATGTATGACACGACAAAAAAATTTTCAAAGACACAATAATAATAATGACAATGAACATGGATTTAGGGAGATAATGGAGGAACGTACCCAGAGAACACAGAACAATATACACGACTAAAGCCGGAAAGACCTCACGGGCGTTGGTCAACTACCTCACAATATCACCTCGCGATCACATCACATGCCAACCGCTCCCTGAAGGCGTGGCATCACCACGCCGGGGCGTGGCTGCGACATGACTGGAAGTCGTCTTTGAGACCAAGCTACAATATACTCATGTCGATCATACAATCAACAAATAGATTTAGCAGAAAAACTACTTTGTCGAATAGAAATAAAAGGATTAGGATTAAGGTGACTAGCTCACGAACATATAACACGAATCCTCCAACCTCACTGGGACACGTCATTCAAAGCTAGTTATCCAGAAGATAACCGTCAAGGATAATCAAAGAGAAAGTAGCGAAGGAAGGCCATGATCTGTTCTCAGAGTGAATATCACCGCATTTCATATGATAAACACAGACGAAACACAAACACTTCACATGCACAAAAAAGCCGCTAGATCCTCACTATATGAATAAACAAACAAACAAACAAAGCACAATATCCATAAGGAGCAGTAGATTTCATTGAGGTAGACGTAGGCCACCACGACGTGGAAAGGAGCAGAGGAAGTGAAACAATATCATGAGGCGGCAGAACAGATATAGTACAATCTTATAAATGATTTTACATGCAATAATATACCCAGCAAACGGAAGGACATCTATAAGACACCATACAACGTATTAATTCCTATGCATCTGATACACCGTATTAAAGGAAGTGCCTTACGCCCGTTATTACTCCTAAACGGAAAGATTGCCGAATGTGCTCGCATGTGCTCCTCCTTCGCCATCTGACGGTGGGTCACGTGAGCGCGATCTGAAAGGATTTGTCGATCGATTACAATCTAGAGAACCAAAACTCAAACACATAATAATACTGTCATTGAAACAATAATAGGTCATAAGAAAACTCGAAATTTTCTGTGGTAACAAAGAATAAAATTGAACATGAAATGGACTTGTAATTTACGTGAAAGTACCTCGTTGTTCCCCGCTCTCCTTTCGCTGTTTTTTATTCCATGTTTCTGTTTCACTCTTGACACTTTTCGGCGCTACCGCAAGACACGGAAGCATTTCGTTTGAACGCAAGCATTCTAGTCAAGTAGTGATACAAAGTCACGAGCAGCGCAAAGCTCCCCACACGTTCAAGTTTACATTGTGATCGAACTTCCAGCACCATCACTTTTGATTTTTTCTGCTTGTATTGGGTGATTTTGGTCAACTCTCTCGCTTGAAGAAGGACTTAATAATGATTGGAGATAGAAGAAGTGGGAATATATCTAGTCGAAATGCAGCCCGGCCGCAGTGCGAGACAATGCGCATTTCCCAGCAAAAGGTATGCCCTCGGCAGCCTAACAGGGCCGCAATTGCGTCGCTTGCTAGCTACCCGCCCATCAACAGGCTAAACCCTCGCCGCCTGACTCTTCCCGCGGAGTTGATGGCCTGCAGAGACGGAGAGCAAAGCGCTAGGACTGTTGAACGATCAAATGCGGAAAACGGACTAGGTGCTGTTTGCTGGCTGAGGAGTGTTGGTGTGTGTAGTATAAGATTTATGGAAGATGGTCCGCGATGCCAAGTGAGAGTTGGCATCGAGTGGCCGAGGCTGGTCTCTTGGGCCAGTCAGCGTCATGGTCCTCCGCCCCGTACGTCCAATTTCAAAAAAGTTAGGGCAGCTTTAAGGTGCATAGAACCGACCCTCTACCACCACATGTGAAGGGGAGTTATGGTAACGTGGCACTTGGTCCGTACTGTAAATCCCCTTTAACGAAAATCCCGAACGCGTCAATACATCGCGTATTTTACGTGTCCAGGACAAGCACCGTCGTCTGGATACCGACCAAGTGGCAAAGTTGACATAAATGCACACGTTGAGAGCGACGGGGTGCGATGTGCGCTGACGAAATGCTGCTGTGTCTTGCAATAGCGTCAAATTTCTTCACAACAATCACGTAATTATTTACATGAGGAGAAGGGAGCCTCACAAAGCATGCACTGCTTAGAAAAAAAGACACTTGAAACTGCGGTCATATGTCAGAACAAATGCACAGAGCCAAGGTTCCAAGGTTTTTGCAGCTCAGACGAGCTCGTTGAAATTTTTCAGTCATCAAGAAAATAAGGCGTAAACTGCGTATAATGCTGCCCAAACTGAGGGAATGTATTTAGTCAGCGAATTGGTACAAAGTTTGAGACGACAACCACGACTTTCGCGATAAAACATTGCCTGAATTTGGTACTTTTAAAAAGCCACGTTAAGCCAGCAATAACGTTGCCCAGGGCGGAAGTGGTGTAGTGGCAAGTGGCACGCTTACCACGCGAGCGGTCCGGGGATCAAATCCTGGGTCGTGAGTCGCCCGGGCCAACCAAGCCTTCCATCCCTCCGGGGTCGGTTAATTGGTACCAGACTTGTCTGGGAGGATAAAAACACTGACTTGTACATCGGCTGGCCCCGCAAGTCATTGTATAGGCCACATCGCATTCAAACGCCACTACGAATGTACAAATGGAAGTAGAATGCGTGCCGCATCCCAAAAAGGGATTGATCAACGGCAAATGCTTTATCCTTTATCATCTTTACCCATAACGTCGACGGGCCCACAGGGTACGTCCTCACCAACCTGCTATCTGAGGTCAACGTGAACAATCCGCAAAAAAGCACATCGTCCTCCTTTCCCCTCCCCACCGCCCCCGTCCCATTCGAACAAACCGCTGTGGTCGGTGACAAATGCATTGCGGCCTTGATCTCGCATACGTCATGATCAATCAGCCAGCCACAGTTTCATAAAAATATTTCTCAGACAATAAATTTGAGCTTCAGACGCAAAAAAAAAACAGAAATTTCAACAAGAACCAATAATGTCACTCTGAATGGGCCAACCTATATGACCTTACTAAAGGGCACTGCCAAATAGCTACCCAACAACGGCGCTTATATGAAGTTAACGACAACAGTGAAGAAGTATGCTGCACTCATTTTGGAAGCGGAGCAATTCAATGAAGTGTCGACAGATTTTAATCCTTATGTCTAGTGCATGCTAGGCATTAGACCGTGGCGATAAGCGACGAGCTCAAAAATTTAGATGCAAAACACCGAGCTGTGATCTATTCCACCCATCTACTCCTCAAACTACCAACAAAACTTCCAGAAACTGATATGACCGACGTGAAGGACGGATATCGAAAGAAGTCTACAAAACTCACTTGTCACCGTCACGTTCACGTCTTGTACGAAGACGCTTCGTGCGCCCATCGCGGCCTTCGACCTCCTCATCACTCAACGAATCATCATGGAGTACTTGATCGGTGACGACTGCCTGTGATCCAGCTGGATGGCGACGTCTTTCACCACTTTCCATACGTCTGAAATGTAATTCCGTAGAAGGAAATGACTTAATTATGGTTGCACCTTTATCGATATCGAAGAACGAAACAACAATTCGGGAAAATGTTCGGATATTACCAGCCATAGTATGAACGCTTTCGACATCCCTAAGATCGACTTCCCATAAATCGAATGATCGGCATTTTTCATTTCTAAGAAACAGATCAAAGACATGAGAACCCTGTCTTCTCGCTTGCTCTCGTGGGATCTGACAATGGCTTGGTACAAAGCTATAAGCCAAAGCATCCATCGTATAATGAACAGACACTCTTTCAGAAATACCACTCAGAATCGGCTTTTACAAACAAATCTACTTGTTCACACTATTTCTTTCACTGCGAGATGACCATGACGAGCTAGGTGTTTGCGAAAAGCTAGGTAAATCATGATCAGCATAAGGGACGCAATCGATATCGTAAGGGCAACACGTTCTGCCACAATTCCCACCCCCGAGCAGGATCAACCGTCCGCTGGCCAAGGTCTAACGACAGGGCCGTATTTTGCAGACGGGAAGGGGGTCTATGCGCAGGGGTCAACGTCACAATGTGAGATCTTCACTGGCATGGGTGCGCAGGAGATGATTATTCTACAAGGACTAAAATGTGTGCAAAAAGTGACAAGCTGAAAGCGCAGCAGAAATGACGAAAGTTTTGACCGATGCGAATAAAGCTCGCAGTTCTAGGCTCAGGCTCACAGCATCAAACGATTAGAATCAATACAAACGCGACACTAGATGAGGGATATACATTTTGAGTGCTTCTCCAGCTACTACGACAATCGAGTACATCACGCATGTCAGAGCAGGATAATCTTACTGATAATCTGACCCGAACTGACTATACTTCACTAGTGGCGTACACAAACATAGTTCTACATAAAAAAACAGCCAATATACTTAGACTGGACCTGAGTTAATGAAAGAGTGACCATTTGGGCAGATTATAAAGGCGCACAAAAAAACTGAAAGAAAAGATTCGTGATGGCGATCTTTTGAAAAAGAATCGGTGTCTATTATAAAACACAAATCTTGTACTTTGTCACGGCGATCACCGTTTATTGAATTTGAAGAGAGTACCATTTGAATAGTGAGAATTCGCATTCAAGAGTAGTTCCAAAAACTCTAAGAAAAAATGGACTAACAGGGCTGTTTTTGACCCGATCAATTGGGGAATGAGTTCACTTATCCTTTAGAGAGCTCTAGCCGTTGTTTTCTACAGGAATAAAGAATCGCAAAAAGTTGAATTTGAAGTTATAGATTCAAGGCGAAAAAAAAACAGCGCGTGGTCAAAGCGAACCGCAAGTTCACCCAAAACCGACGGCTATTTTTGGACATGTGAACTTTACAAAACTTTGCGTATTTTTTAAGAGGAAACTGTTTTCAGGCTTTCAAATTTTCTTACCACTCTTCACAATTCTGGGTGTCACCCAAGAGGCCCACCGCGCGGCGAAGGAAGAGACGCAGACGCGGCAAAGGACGAGTCGCACTGTAGCGGTTAGGCGTCAGGTTAAATAGAGTGTACCATACTACGTCTCATATCGCACAGCACGCGCTGCGACTCGTCCTTTGCCGCATCTGCGTCTCTTCCTTCGCCGCGCGGTGGGCCTCTTGGGGGACACCCCACAATTTTTCACGCAAAGGAAATTACGACCTTTCAAAAGAAAAAAAAACAAACAAAAAGAGTGCGCATTTTCGTAAAATCTGAGTTCTCTTCTTCAAACAAAAAATTTCAAGATACTCCATAATCAACTTGGTTTTCTGAACCTAGCACCCCCGAAGATCACAAATCAAGCCGAATATTTCAAAAAAATATAGTCTGAAGAGAATTACACTCATTGGATAACTAGTAATCGATCCCTTTGGTGAAGATGAAAAGGATTGTGCGCACCAATGGGAAGAACGCAACGCAGTCGTACGCCGGTTGCATTTGCGCATCCCTACACACATCAACTATTATGTAGAGTTGAAGGGGGCCCTATCAGAACCCTCTAAGAGGAGCGAGCAGTAAAAACCTTGAGAGAACTAACGTGACGGTTGATCTTGCCCTGAAGCCTGACCTCTGTTCGTTGTTAAAAAGGTTGCTTCAGCATCTTCTACACGGAGAAGACCACAAATAGATGTTAGTCTTGCTCTGGTCAACAAATGGAGGTAGTCAAGAGACCTTTCCGCAATTGAGAAATGAATATTAGGGAACTAATGGATGCGAAATTCATGACCAACAGATTATCTTTCCAGTATATACTTTTCATTTGCTAGGACAGAATATAACAGGGAAGCTCACCCTTCTTCAAGTGAAACATCCTCAAAAATTGATGTTTCCACGGATACTGTATCTGCCGGAGGAGTACTCCCACCTTCGTAGGCATCGTTCACTTCTCCAGATCCCTTAAATAGAGAAAACAGATAATTTGTCCACATGCCACGATATACGACGTGGGATCTGCTGCTGTGACGGGTAAGGAAGCGCGCGGGGGAGGAAGTTATTTGCCGCTGACACTGTATAAATATAATACACTATATAATTGTGAAGATCTGCAACGTCTGTTGAAGCTTCCAGACAGCTTAGAAAACAAGGCTCATTATTTGAACAACAATATCTGTGAAAACCTTCATAAACACCAGTTAACAAAAAAAACATGTCTGAAATGTTACCCCGCGTATAACTACAAGTGATACTACGTGGTTCTTCAACAAGATACTTTAATTTGGTCGGATCCTTTGGTTTTGATTGCCTAGAATTTTTTAGATGTTGAGATAATTCCTTATATGAAGCAGAAAAAAGACAAAGGATCATTGGCCAGGGGATTGAAACTCAGAGCAAAATGGGTTTCACATTTTTGAGAAGTTGTTATTCCAATCCCAACCTCCATCCCTCTAGGCCTGGGCGAAATTTCTGCTTCTTGGCTCACAACCGTTTTCTTAGGCTCCACAGAAAAATTCACCGGTTGAGCGGACACAGGTGTGCGCTGATGACGTCAATAGCGACGTAACTAACTAGGGACAGCACCTCGCTAAAGCTCTAATGTATTACATAGTGTAGGTAGGTAAGTACCCCAAATTTACCGTGAAGAAATAGTGAATAGGAATGGAAATATTGAACTTATAATAACACTACTACAACCAATTTCAACCGTGCTTCCTCAAGACTCACAAATGAAGACGTTGACTTCCTCCGCACTTTAAAAAAAATTTCGGCTTCCTACCTTGGGCATGATATAGGTAATATAAGTAAGAATACGATCACTCCATCTCTAGAACTTCTGATTGGAAAGGTTTAGAAGGGACGGCAACTCCTTTCTGTTCAAGCGAAGTGCTGTCGCGCTCCCTGGTTGTGACGTCACTAGCACGCGCTCGCGACCGCGCCGCCACTGGATTTTCTCTCCCTCCCTTTTTCTTCACCCCTCCGCCCTCTTCAATGGTTGACTAGCTGACAGGTTTGTCTTTGTTACCTTGTCTGGAGGCTTGTATGGATACTACAGGCGCCCTCGTGTTTAATGAGAACACCATGAATTGTTGTAACAAAATGATCCCCTGCCCTTACTCCAGCACCGCCCACGCCCGCTGTTTAGCTGAGAAGATCCAAATATAACAAAATGATGGCCAGCAAACTCACGTCCATTGGTGGACGTGACGACGACTTCGTGAAGAATCCTTTCAGTTTATTTTTTAGTGACTGTGACAGAGTGTTAGTTTCGGCCTCGTCGTCCGTTATTCCTCTCTCTCCTTGCAATGTAATCTCATCGGTTTCCACCAACTGTTCACGAGATCCGCCGATGTCACTGTGATGCACATCTGCTAGGACTTGACTTGTAGAAGCTGAAAACATTAGAGTTCACTGCTACAGTATGCTTTTGCTAGCAAGAAAAAAAAAGATTTGTAGATTATTGCATTCCAATCACTTTTGGACACGTGAGTGTTCTAGTCGTGTGAAGCGAAGGGTCCACATGACTAGGAAGAACACTTACGTGTCAAAAACTGTCGTAGCCCACATAACAGGAAAGCAGAGAAATATCAAGAAACCTTCCACCAACGAGATTCACTCCAAAACCAGTTCCTTTACCAAGTACCTTCGCAACATTGGTGTATTTTTCGGATCTCCTAACAAACAACTGTTGAACATCTCCTTTTCTAAGACCCCACCTACGTTAGTCACCAAAAGCTTGTCAGATACAACAAGGGAGTCAGCTCCTCACGTAAATGTCGATAACTGGTAGGTCCAGTCAAAATGACACTGTGCACATACAAAAACAGCAATAGAAGAGCTTCAAAACGCGTATCGACGCGAAAGGAGATAGAAAGCTTAGTGACCAGTAAAACATCAAAGCATTTGATGAGAAATTATGGAAAGAGAATGAAAGACAATATTGCAGCTAGAATGCGTTTTTATGGTTCCGTCACCACCCACTCAACTACTACAAAATATGCCGTGCACGCGTTTCAGATGTGACTACTCAACCGAAACAATTTGATTGTTGTAATTCGCGGCAATGATATATGTAGTCAAAATATATACCCACCAATCGGAGTCTCGGTTCTTTCTTCGTCCTCGAGATAAGTATGTGTAATGGATGTACTTCGAGAAGATGTAGGTTGCTAAATGCGCATAAGAGTATAAAAAGATAAAAGCAATTAACAATAATGAAAATAAGAAACGCTACCTCCTGTCGTCTTTCTTCGTCACTTGATTCAGAATCCGAGTTCTTTGCACCAACCCGCCGTTTACACATAGGGCAAACTTTGCGATTTTGGGTTAGCCATGGATCGATACAATTGCAATGGTAGGCTAAAAATCTAGCCATTAGTAGAAAAATGCATGAACAGCTACTGAAGTTTCACACTTGCATGTATGAAAAGATGGGGATATGGATTCTGTGAACTAAAAGGCCACCTTAAGGCCGATGTCAGACTTTGCGAATCGCGCGATTCGCTACTAGCGATTCGCTAGCGTCCGCGGTCGCGTTGCGGTACCAGCCAATTGAGTGATTCACTGGCCGCGACGCGACCGCAGACGCTAGCGAATCGCGCGATTCGCAAAGTCTGACATCGGCCTAACCCTGAGGGTTTCGTGTTAATCGTTCCATTCGTTTCAAGAATGCAGTCAAACACACCAATCACAAAACGGCAATAGCTAATGTGAAGCATGAAGGTAAAACTGATAAGGCAGACATGCCACTAAGTGAGGGAAAGCCAGTAAGAAAGCAAAGACGTAGAGCCATCTTCAGACATAAAGAAGTCAGGATCAACAGTTTTCAAGGCATGCCGGCGCTTTTTCCAGGCAATTTTTGAAGAACGAACGGAGTACAACCTAGGAGGTTAAGTGAACATGGATCCTTGCTACTATTGCTTGTGTGGCACAAAATACGTCGACGATTAGAGTGAGTTCACAGGATTAGTGCTCATGATACTTTACAATTTATCACGACCGCTGCCATGGTGTATTGCTTTGATATTTCAACGTTGAAAGAAGTAAGAATACTATATTGTTCATAACTACTCACTGTGTCGGCATGGCAAAACACGTAACTTTTCACCCTCGATGAAGTCATCAAGACAAATGGCACACGTTTCTGGTTCGTCTCCTGAAATTACGTGATGCTATATTAGCAAGGCAAAAAACTGCACCAACACCGATTTACCTTTTCGAAACTTCTTTGTAGGTATTTTGCGAAGATTCCGTTTCGAGAGACGTTTTCGAGCGACGCGTCGACGCTCACGACACAGTCGTATCGCCTTCAATATCTTTAAATGAGTTAATCGGTGAGTCTGACTAAGGTGTTAGTCACACATACAAATACGGAAAACTTACCAAGCTGATAAGCAAAACAATGAAGCAGAATCCTACGACGACTACAAATGGAATAAGGTAGCGAAACAAATCGTAGTAACCCGGCGTTACTTTGATCTGTACGATATACCTAAATTTAAACCCACATAAACACCTTCAATTGAGTAAGCAGCAGATACACCTAGTTAAGGAACCAACCCTTGACTAGCTGGATATGTAGTGTTAATTGCTATCATACATTGATAAGAGATCATGAGCACCGGAATGCGAACCTGTAAAATCAAAAAATTAGAAATACCTGGAAAAATCTAACACTTAAATGAAATACAAGATATGACGTTCATGTTTGTAAGAGAGGGAAGAGTGGGAAGGATATTTTGGCATGCCTCCAGGACTAAGTCTAGGAGGGGAAGAAACATGGAAAAACGAAAAAAAAAATCACAGCACAGGCTCCTTCCTCGATAATGCTCAGTACTAAGATAATATTTACTAATAATGGAAGACGAAAATGATGCGACAAACGTCCCCCCCCCCCTCACATGGGCGCTCAAAGTGAATTTCACTGTAAATGACTTTGAAAATCTCCTCCAAGAGCAACCCATTTCATTTTTCAACTCAACACCATCAAAGAACAAGAAAAAAACTCACCGCGTCAGCGTATTTACTACCAGCCATGTCAATTGGAGGTTTCCCTTCTGAATTGTAGATAATCAATGCTTGAAATCCCGAAGGCTCGGCACGTTGGACGTGGTAAGCCTGTAATGGTTAATGAGCTGCTGATAATGTTGAAAGAAACCTGATGAATCTACATTATTAGGAAAACATACCTTCTCGGAGAAACTGCAGTTTCCTCTCGGGACCAACGCAAAATTTGAGGCACAGAGAGTGGCATTACTGGGGTACTGAAAGTTAATTGATTGAATGAACTGAGAAGTTAATAGAACACCTTGAGCTTATTAAACGGTACTCAAAGCAACTATTCATCCTAACGGTGATCTTTTCTAGTTACTGCCAGCCATCGAGCAACCAGTACTATTTAAAGCTTCCATCCGGACACACGAAGCCAGAGCCATGCATTCTTGGACGGAGAGGTGCCCGGCTTTTTTCTTTCTCTAGGGACACCTCCGTAGCGAATATTCGACGGTGACGAAATGGGCACAGAATAATGGCGACTCTTTCGATGAATCGACCACCCATTAAAAAGGAATGTGTAGGCGCTCATCATGCAGAGAGGAAGAAAAACCAATTAAAACGGCCTGAATCTGCAAAATGGGATCCCCAATCTCTAAGTTGACTCTGCGGTTGCTTCGAGCCTCTGAGGTGCTAAGGTCATCAACGTGAACACGCTGCTCTGCTTCTCTGCTGAATCAAAGTCTACGTCAAGAGTCCGATGGCGAGGGAGTAGCCAGTCGGTGGACGGGCAGAGCAGCGACGACCGTCGATGCGACCCTGCTGGACCGCAAGGAGCGTACACTTCTCTGCAAAACGCGCAACGTCTTAACCCTTTGAGCGGCGTCAGACTTTGCGAATCCGTGGATTACCCAGATGGGCAGCGGTATTTGAACGAATTTAGTCGATGATTAGCTTTTGCATCGCCCGTACTCTTCGGATCGCAGGCGACACCTGAGCCCGCTAGCGAATCCACGTCAAAAAGTCTGACACCAGTTTTGAGGGGCCTGCCTTCCTCTTGAGTAGGTATTTTCATTTTTTCGACTCCACTTTATCGCAGGACCATCCTTCAACGCCAACTTCACCCACGAAGAGGATACTTAGAAAGTGCCGCATAAATTCCAAGGCGCACACTCCTCAAAATAATGTGGAATTTTATTAGTTATTTATAAAGGTGGTACTACGCATTCATAAATGGGTCTTAACGCAGTCACAGACTGCGATCGTTCATTCGCACGATCACAGAATTCTTGGCCGATGCGTATTTACTCCACACTAAAACTGCAAAACGAACTAAAAGAAGATCACGAGTTATACCGTGACCTCATCAATCTTACCTTAAAAAGGTTAGTACCTAAGACGACTTCATTTTGAACGGTCATTAGCGCTCAGCACCACAAGAAGCAATATTGATCTTGACACATTTTGCAGCATAAAGTATACTTCCATTTACCTACATAACCCCATTGCACCAATTCACATAGGTTTTGCTAAAGGCTGCTTCAGAAAAGATAACGCCTGCAGATCGATAGGCATCACTTTAAGAAAACAAAAAAATATCACTGAATGTGAAATAAAATTATGAACAAAACCCCACTCAAATGATAAAGTAACTCTTCAAGCACTCGATGGTTCTCATCAAAAATTTCGGTATTAGCAGCAAGATGGATCTCACGCTTCATAGGTGTTCTGTTAGAAGCACAAAAATGCGCTGGTGGGGAGCTGGAGATACGAAACTCATTAACAATCGAAGACGACCTGTATGGAGGAATTTTGATGTTCAGCTACGCCACACCAAGAGAAAGCTATGCGTTTCACCAGTCGTTACACACATCTCGCGTTTGTTTGTTGGACAGCGTAGAAATTATGGTGAACCCTGGGGCAACCCAAGCTAATGCTCAACTTTCTAATTCACTCAATCCAAAGCGAACATGAGACTATGCTGTTGTGCATTTCTTTTGGGATTGTTTTCAGACACTTACGTCAAAACTTATCAAAAACTACGAGGCAGGTGGCAAACTACGTGACGTCTTTTAAATAAATTGATGAGTGTTGCGTTACATGGAGGAGGTAGGTTTGGCAAGATGGCATGACCTCGACTACTGATGCTTGAACATTTACGCTTAATTCTACACGTACCACAACATGTTCCGTGCACGCTTCGAGTGGTTCTGGGTGCATTGCGCATCCGATTGCCTCGTGACTGAACGAGAACGTGACAATGTCGGCGCCGAAATTTGCACCGGTCGCCTCACATCGCTGCACCGAACGTCGAATGCCCAAACGAGCTGGCTCCAGCTGAATTGGTAAAAAGTAATGACGAACCCTCGTGAAAAAAAACAACAACAACAAATGCTTGGATGGAAAAGTGAGTAAGAAACAAACGCCAAAGTTATACAGATAAATACAACGTTATGTCACAATATTTGTAAAGGCGAAGCGCACACTATCACAGTATGCGGTGTCATTAAGGTTTCTGTCCTTTCACTTATGTGGTACTGATTTTACGTAATCTTCTGGCTAACACGAGACTAAAGAAGATTTAGACATAGACCGAACTATTGAATCTACTACATATGAGTAGCTTTGAAAGCAAATGCCAACATTTTTTTTTGACAATGAGAAACTTAGAATGAAAGTCGGATTCCCATCATTTTACTTCATAGAACGCGGAAATTTCTTGAAGCCTATCTTTTCGTTTGCATTGTGATAGCTGATAACAAGGAGAAATGAGTCATCTATAATAGTGTTTCGAATTCAAAACTCACTACTTCGACGACGTACTGTCCCTTCACAAGAATGTCGTGAACAGTGAGCAGGATGAAAATAAAACGTTGAACGTGAAATGATGATGACGAGTAAGTGCCATGAAATCGTTGCATTCTAGCGATTCGAGCTCGTCCTTGCAACACTCTTTAGAGGTGGCAACGAATACTAATTCCCCATAAAACAGGGTCTGTAATAAATGACATCATTATGCTAACCATGTATTGATTGAACAAAAACTAAATTCGAACGACGGAGGCTACCGATTTATTTCGTCAACGTATCAAGGATGTGCACGAGGAGAAATACCTGAGGAAAATACAGACGCTTGTGTAGCTGAGAGGAGGAAGGGATGGCACTGTGGGTGCAATAGTTGTGCAATAGTTAATGTTGCCCACTGTAAGGAAAAATGGAAGGAAAAGGAAGGAGAAAGGTCCGAGGCGGGCGCACCAATTTTTATGTGCAAAAAAGAAACTAGGTAAGCGTTACCTGTTGTACACGTCTGTAATGAAAATAGTATTCGACAAGATTTCAAATGCGTTGAGTGCTCTTCTCCACAATGCTCCCTTCCCCTTCCACCTCCGAAAGCACTCGAGCCGATTTGATAATCTTTCTTCTTTTAGAGGTGGATTTTACGATAAGGTCGGAGGTCAAAGGAGAGGAGACTTTTACCCCATATCTTGAAGTCTGATTAGGCGTGGCTATGGGTTTGACGTGGCGGCCGCCGCACTTGATAGAAGTTGCGCGGATAAGCTGCTTCCAGCATGCTTTGCTGATATCCAGCGGAGTATGTTAGAAACAGCTTATCCACACGGCTTCTATCAAGTGCGGCGACGGCCACGTCAAATCCATAGACACGCCTAATCTGACTTCGAGATATGGACTGTACCTCATGGAAAGGCAGACCTACCATCTGACAATATGCAATGGCCGATGTCAGACTTTGCTACTGGAGCGATTTTGCACAAGTGATGGAAGCGATTAATCGCTCGGCTCGTGGTGTGCCATTGGCCATGTAGTGGCAGCATGCAATTTATCGCTGCCACGCCCCTTCGATCGATACCCTTGAGAAGGGTGGTGTCCATCCATAACACTAGATACTTCCTATTTCCTAGTAAGCAGATTCGAGAACAGGGAAATCAAACAACCCATTTATATTGCATATATCTCATCACTAAAGATTAACCATTCGAAAAAAACTTGCATGAGATACTCTCTAAACGTTACAATAATCACTCCCATCACCTGTGCGAAATCGCTCCAGTCGCAGTCTGACATCGGCCAATTCGCAGCGAATGGTATGCCCCCGGCGGTAGAGCATGGCAATCCTCGCGCCACTATCGCCACTGCCCGCCCACCGGGAACCACTCGTCGAAGGTCTCCAGGCGTTCAGCACAGGGGCTTTAGCGAGAGTTCAGCACCGATGAGAGTCGCGCCAATGCGTAGTTCAACGTCAAGAAAGAGATGCCATTTCTCGGGTTCTGGGCCGTTTCTCGTGGTTTTTTCTTCATCCCGGCACCACTGGCCACTTCTCCCTTGAATCTGATAGGTTGCCTTATGATCGGAAACTCCACGTCTGACTCAGAGCATGATTTTCGACTCTCGTGAAGTTGGAAGGGACATATTGTGCGAGCACCCAATCCACTGAAAACCACGATAAAAATTTTCGCTTATTATGAGAGTGATCACTGCCTGCGCAAGTGCTTTCTTAACCCAACCCTGAGCTCCTTTACCATCAAAAGCCAGATTTACCGTGATCCACAAGAAAGCGCTAAATGTCCCACCCCATTCCAATAGGCCCCATTTCACTCAGGCGCTTTGACAAATCCAAAATTCGATTTGAACAGATATTGCGTCCATGCAAATCAGGAAGTGGAATTTGATACGATGGATGGTGCGGATAGCTGCTAACTCTATTGGACAGTTTTTTTTCCAAAAGCACTTCAAGCTCGTTTCCATACATTTCTTCAAAAGTTGTTAAAGTTTTTCAGGTTTTTGTGTTAGATGGTTCGAAGAAACAATTGTAAACCAGATTATTTCAGGGGGGGGGGAGAGGGAAGGGGGAATAAGCAAAATCGGGCGCTATCGCAAGATACATGGGCATTGTTGTCGCAAAGCCAAACCGCGTAAAACATTCCCTTCATGATAAATGGGATCTAAGCCTCAGGCGAGGAGAATTCAGGGTTGTGAGCAATTTTTATTTCATTCCAAAGTTACTTCCCGCTCCAAGGCTTAGTTCTCGAATGTGCCCCATCATTTTGCTATAGCGTCCCAAATCGCTCGAGCAAAAGGGGTTTCGCACATCGTGTGTAGTTGAACTTCATTTGAGCTCGTTGCCTACCAAACCCCTGTCGGTGTACAGAGGTTTCTTCTAATTTGGGCTTCTACAGACAAAGGTTTCAAAGCACAAATGAGTGCAAACGTGAACAAGTAAGGTGACGAGAACAATCGCCTATTATAACTATACAACTATACACTATATATAACTATGCAACTCTCTATAACTATCGCTGAAGTTCTCTTCACGAATGCTAGAGAAAGGGTGAATCACCCAGCCACGTTCGAATTTGTGTTGAGCAAAAGACACACTCATGAGTTCAATAAGTATCGGAACGGAATAAACAGACACCCCTTATCGATATCACTTCGTATTAGTTGGGTTGAGACGAAAGGTCGTTAAACATCCTAAACACCGACCTTCCAGTAGAAAACATACGAAATTTAGTACGAAAGCAGAACCGTTGAAAACGGTACACAGACGAGTGTTGTGTGAGTAGGATGGGCAACGATTTCGAGAAGAAGGTTCTTTGGAGAAAATATTAAGGCTCATTAACCCAGGTGTTCCTCCTTTTCTGAGATCTATTCTCAGTTAAAAGGAGGACTCCGGGTTGGGATGACTAAGCATCGCCAAAAAATGGCATGTCCACCCGACTCACGCAGCACCCACTGAAGCCACTCGCTCTTAATGACGAAACTGGAAGAAATAGTGCAACATAATCAATAGATCAGTGGGCAATATTACAAAAACGAGAAAAAGGGATGGTGATGAACATGCACGGAAAGTATGAATGGTGGAAGAAATGAATGCGTGCAGCGACACGACGACAACGTGATTGGAAACAAAAACCTGTGGAGGAATTACTGGTAGAAATGATATCGAACGTGCACATCGACGGTCAGCTGATCAGCGCGCGCATCGCATTGGTGTAAAAGTCGATCGATTGTTTTGCACTTAGGAAATGCAAAGAGGAACGAAAGCCAGTTCTCTGTTTAACGCGTTATTTTTACTGGATGGCAATTGAATACGTCCCAGGTAATAACTACCAAAGGTAGCTCACCGTAAAAGCAGGAAAATACAAATTCAATAATTCAATGAAATCAACATCGAGCAACTGCACAAGCAATTTGTTGCTCACCATAACTGGCGTAAATGACAAAGCTTCTCGCCCAGTTACGTACCAAGCACTTTAATTGCCGTCTGTCCATTGAGAAAAAGGTTAAATCGCTCGTTCAATTCATCGTTGCTTACTCATTGGTGTTTGCACAGACACACTGAACGACACACTTTCTTCTAATACCTGTACAGTAATAAAGGTAAAGGAGAATGGTTGTTAGATTCAGTTAATAACTGAGCAAGCCAAGGGTCGAATGACTCATTCGGTTCGTTTTGCTGAGATAGCGCTGTGATCGTTGCGAAGAAGTGCCGCGTTTGACGAGTGGTTAGCCGTGCCAATCAGAATGACGGTGATTTACAGAACTAACGGGCAACTTGTTCACAAGTCTGCTGTGTGAATGCCTTTATGAACAAGGTACGGAAGTACGAAAGTACGATTGAGCATGAATTCATTATGGTCGTGCTGTAATAAAGTTCAGCGCGACTAATACGTAATTACGGGAATTAGAGCCCCGCACGAGAAAAATCAATAGTTGTCCTAACCGCGCGCCTTTGCCGCATGCACAAAACAGCTGCTGACGCATTGAAAATCGCTTTAAATCAATATTTATTATTGGTTTCAGTATTAAATAAGTTCCATTGAAAACATGCATCCAAAATAATCGGAACTTCAGCAGTTTTCAGCTGACGGTGGGACCAACTAAACCGCGCCGCTTGAGATGGCCAGACTTTTCGTGACAGGCAGTGGCAGGTCACCAGGAGAAGGAGGCGTGATGAATCTCCTCATGTATACTGCAAATGTTGTGCCCGAACAATATTAGGATGGAGGGCGATGCTCAGATGCCACAGACGCTCTCTAAGAGAGGAAAGAAAGGGGAGGGGTGCTGGCAGGGTTTAGGATGACGTAACCCACACCATGCCAGTGAGGGGTAAACACCGTTGTTTCCGATGAGAGATGTCACGTCTGCCAACTGAAGACATCAGTATTGAAGGCGGAAGATGTAACAAATAATTCGATCAGTAATCGAAAACGGAGCGGAAGTTCGATGCTCGGCAATATATCAAATATACAAATAAAGGTGCTAACTTAGTTGGGGGGGGGGGACCACGCGGCGGCGCGGCAGTCTGCTCGCCTGGCATCTTTGCGTCGGAAATCCGTGAGCCAGGGGGAGTGTAGGCAGTCTAGGGGGTGGGGGGTGAGGGCAGTCACTTGACATGCGTGAAAAGCTGGAATGTTCGAGTTTACACTGTCTCGCTCGAGAGAGCGCCAGGTGAGCAAGGCGCCCTCCCCCCCCAACTAAGTTAGCACCCAAATAAACTATGAAATAGTTTGCGTTCTCACCGAAATAGCATTACTACTCAGAAATAATGCGTTCGCGAAAGTAGGAAGTCCACTCCAAAAATTAACTGTAGGATCAATGCTTGGTGCAGGGCCACTATTCCGATTTCCAAGAAAACGGAGGAAGAAAAAACGTTCATTATTCGAATCTTCATTTACTTTTTTTGGTCAGCAACATTGACTGCCACTCAAATTTCCGACTACTATTGGTTCAACATTGTGGCGTTGGCTGAAAAAAAAAACAGACTGTCACTTGAATGGAGACTGAAGCGGTGCGCTAACTATGACGATTTATCGTGACATCGTTTGTTCCCAAGGGGAGAAGCTGCCGGCTGCAGTTCATCCTGTCGTTCGCTTTGAGCCGACGTCATACTTTGCATCGA